GTCGCGTGCCGTCCTGCCACAGCACGTCCACCGTCGTGCGAGTGCTGGCCACGACCAACGGCCGCCGCCCCAAGTCGTCGTCTAATGAGCGTTGCCTCCGACTTGGTCGGCGCTGCTGCCAGTCCCTTCTCGTCAGTCCACAGGCAGCGGTTGCGGCAGCAGACGACTGCTGCTGCGGATCGTACGTGATCGTCGGAGGCAGCGCCGCCGCGAAACAAGCACCGGTCGCCCACGCCCCAGTATTTGAAGTCAAAGATGTTTCCGGGGCCTAGGCAGAGGAAGGTCAGGTCGCGAGGACTCTGCTGGTTCGGCGGCGGGGGCAGAGACTCGTCGATGGCGCCGGTGTCCAGCTGCGACGACGACGCGAGCCAGTAGACGAGCACGCAGGTCGTCTCCACCCTGCACACGGTGCCCTCGCCATGGCTGGGCTTCCAGTAGCCTTGAGCCACCGGGACGCCCTGAGGATGCCCGGCGGGCCACCGACGTGCTGCCCCGGGTAGAAATCCTGGTCCTTAGAGCCGTCCTTGTTCACGGTCGACGTCATCGTCCACAGCTCGGCGGTGTGCCCCCACGCTACCCTGCACTTGGCGCCGTCGTCGAACACCACGTCGACGTCGAGGCACACCTGCACGACGCAGCCCAGCCACGCGCCTGCCTCCGCCCCGTCGGCGGTTAACACCACGTAGTCTCCACGCTGAACTCGCCACCGGCGCGTCGCACCTCCGCCTGCGACACGGCCCTTGCGACGACCGCCGGGGCACGTTCTCGTCGTCGCCATCTGGTAATGGTAGGCGGGCCAGGTCGAGCTCGGTGGCGGCGCACATCACGGTTCCCAGCTGGCCGCCAATGTCTGTCGACGACGCCACGACCATGCTGGGCTGCATGAAGCTCCGGTCGGCGACACGTACGTCGCTGGCGTTCACGGTCGCCTTGCTGCCGTCGAGGCGCCGCACGACGAGCTTAGGCCACGGTCTGCCTTCCCGAGCACGATGCCGTAGTGGTTGCCACCGGCGGCTGCTGGCGACGACGGGTTCAGGAGCGTGACAGAGTCTCCTCGGCAGATAAGCTGCCCAATTGCGTCCTCCATTGTTGGCAGGAGTCGTCTGTGCGTACGTGTTTGTTTGTTGGATCAGTCAATCCAATTTCTTGTTTATAGGTTTATTAATTGATAAATAGGGTTGTAATTTATAGTGGTTTACGTACGTGGTTATCTGGGAGAGTTGGAGTAGGTTTTGGAGGCCGTGTAAGAAGGTCCTCTGCAACACAAATACAAACCATAATGGACTTTTTTTTTAAAAAAATATATATTTGCTTGTAAATAATACTATGGAATCTTTTTGTTGGAATGTTGTATATCCTAGTCTCCAACACAGACCAGTGCATCATTGTTTATTGCCATCATCTTATTTAATTGGAATCATCATCTTTGTTTAAGATGAATTACGTTATTATAAATTTCATTCAGTTGGTACAAGTAGAACTTAGCCCCAATAAGCAATGCTTTTAGGTGACTTGTTATTTAGGATAAAATAAAAATTTGATTTAGGATAAAATATAAAAATGTCCGTTGGCATTAGGGATGGTGGACGGCGTCCGAATGCACCAAAGAGCAGTGACATTGCCTTCTTCAATTTGCACACCAATCCAATGCCAAAAACCAACCGCAAAGGCACAACCAGATAGGGTGAACTGTGCTTTCAAAACTTAGAGTGCCGCACAACTCACATAGGTCTGAGTCAATGCAGTGATAAGCATTCTAGGTTGATATAATACTAGATTATATTTCGTGCGTGGAGGACTTTTAAAAAAAATAAAATCATTGCTTGCATGAATTAAACCTACATGTTATTACAACGTTCTTAACAAAATTAGGAAAAGCAATGAAAGAATTCAATAAAAAAACTAACAGAATTAGATTGAATTATAAGATGATGTAAAGGCAAAACAAATAGATATTTCTAATATAATGAAAGTAGTAATTGCACTTGGTGAAGATGATGGATATCTTATATTATGAAGTTGGAAATTAGTGGGTTGACATGGCTATTACAACACATTTGGTTGGAGGAATTTCTTAGAAGGGAATGGGAGTTAAGAGATGTGTGATTAAAATTCCTCTGATTGGTTGGTGGGCATGGAAGTTCTTTTGGGAAGGGAAACAGGAATTCGTGGGCCTCAATTCTCACCTTTTAAACCTAAGGAGAGGGTTGGGAATTGAGTGGGACTTCCTTATCAACACAAGATTGATAACTTAAGTTACGATTTCCCATTGCCAAACCCAACAACCAAACAAAGGCCGCAGAAGAAACTCCCTCTTGAACTCTCTTAACTTTCAGCACATGCCAAACAGGGATTATGAGTATAAATCAACCTCCCACATCAATTCCCTCCACTAACTCCCACCTCCGGTTCCCATGTCCTTTCTCTGACCTTGCCAAACACACCGTTAGACGGAGATGTTGTGAATAATTAGTTCGGAAATGATATGGATAGCTTGCATGTTGAGATACAACTTGTAGTGAGGATTAGCTTTATAAAAGATATAGATAGATATAGGGCATGTTTGGCACAGCTCACAACAACTTCATGAGCTGTTGTGAGCTTTTTTTTGCCAAACACCTTTTTTCAAAACAGCTTCATGAGTGAAGCTGTTTTATCCCCTCTCACAAAGGGATGAGTTGGGATGAAGCTGAAAAATAGCTTACTACAGCTTCATCTCCCATATGTGCACCCCACTGTGCACAAAAGGCAATTCTTGGCCAAGAGAGATAGAACGCTCGCGGGGATAAGGGAGGCGACGCGACGAGGCCGACTGGGGCGCGGCCGCCAGAGCGTCGTTGCCGGGAGCGCGGCTCGCCGGGGCGCGGCCCGCCTGGGGCTCACTGGGGCGCGGCCCGCCAGGGGCGCCGCTCGCCTGGGGCTAGGTCTTCTGGGTCGCCGGGGCGCCGGACTTGGAGTGGAGCTCACCGGAGCATGGTCTTCTAGGGCGTTGAGGCGCTGGGACTGGAGCTCGTCGGGACTGGGACTGGGGCTCACCGGGGCACCGAGATTGGGGCGCGGTTTCTAGCGGCGCGGTTTCTTGAAACATAGTATTCTGGGGGCATCGGGCATCGGCCCTAGGAAGAAGATGGCAATAATCGGAAGAAAAAAGGAAAGGCCATGGGTAGTTTGGTACTTTATTCTTTTTCCCCTCTTGAGAAGCTGTTTTGCCAAACGGAGTTAATAAAATAGCTTAGCTTCACCTGTAGAGCGGCTCATTGAGCTGAAAACCAAAAAAACAACTTAACTAGTGAAGCTGAGCTGTGTCAAACGAGGCCATGGATAAGCAATTGCACATAATTGGTTGTGATGTGGCACAGAATTAAAGGAAGTCATCCCTGGCTTTGTTCAATGTACCCAATATTCGATACTTTTCTATAAACCAAAAAATGGTTAAAGCTTGTCCCTCTACCATTAAGTACATAATATTTTTTTAGGATATATTCATTGTTCAATAAAAAATATGCCCTGTGTGCGAACCTTATTTGTTGAAGACGATCTATGGTAATTAAGAAATAAACCGCTAATTAAATGAGATATTCGGTCATGCATGCGCCATATGCATCTCCTATATATCCTGTGGAAAGTTAATGTTTGCTGATATGTACGTACGTGAAGAGAGGAAAAATATTTTGATGATACAGGTGAGGTGACCAGCACCATCTTTAGGTCTGCATAGAGTTGACCGGTGACTCAAGGACTTCTCCGCGAGCCACACAGATTTCGTCGTCATGATCAGGAATAATTCAGGATGCACAAGGACACAATTTGGCGGCATGCAGTGCGGAAATTGAAGGCTATTTTGGACGGCTGCATATCTAGACAAACGTAGCACAGTCTCAGCACGTTGTATGTACGTATATGTGTTCGATTTGCGATAAACATTCCAAATTTTTCAGAGAAAAATACAAATGTTCGGTCGATGAAGGGCATATGCTCAAGCTTGTGCCTGTTTTGGACAAGGCCTTCAAGACGAAGTTATATCCATTGAACAAGCAATAATATCTTGTATGATCAATGTGTTGTCTTGGTCAAAGCGGATTGAGTTTTCAGCACTTCTATATGCACGAAATATATATCTCACACAACTTCTAACAGACGGAACACGGCAATAGATGCAAAAGATTTCTGCACCAAGTACTATGCAACCTTATCCTAGACGACAAGATTGCGTTCATACTTGTACAAGATGTGAAGTGGCTCATCGACAGAGTTAACCACCAAAATCTACGAAATGCATCAATGGCAGTTTCCAGCAGGTAATTTGGCGGCATCTCAATCTATCTTTCTCGGTCAACAATCAAGGTAAGTTTTGTCATTCCACTGGACATTATACTTTTCTAAGTTCTAATAACCTATCGTCGTCCACGGGCGGTCCGCCATTAATGCATGACGTAGATTTTATGGTTTCGTCTAGACATCATAATGTAGACATCATAATGTGTATGTGAACAGTGGTTGATGGGGACGTTGTTAGCTTTATGCGAGATGCAATTTTGCATGAGAAACTTAAGATAGTGTTGATTTAGATGCAAAAATAAGTTCAAATTTAGGAAAAAGTTTTTTTATTGTGATTTCAATAAAATTATTGGAGTTTTGCTATTTATTTCTCCATGCATGTAAACTATATACTGTGGCTGGATTTTCGGTTGCGTGCGCATTCATACACATACAAGTTGTCAAGTGGCTCATCGACAGAGTTAGCCACAAAAATCTACATCATGCATCCCTGGCACTTTCCAATTGGCAATTTGGCAGCATCTTGGTCTATTCTTCTGGGTCAACAATCAAGGGCAGTTTTGTCATTCCACTGGACATTATACTTTTCTACTACTAAGTTCTAACCTCTCATCGTCCCGGCGGCCAGCCACCGGCCACCTATAAATACACGCACGCTCCATCCCAAACTTCCCAAGCAGCTCGCCTAGTTCCACAAGAAAGAAGCTCGCATAGTAGCACCAATGGCCGCCTCCTCGTCCTGGATCCTCCTGCTCCTGGCCGCCACCTTCACAGCCAGCGCCAGCGCGGCGACCTTCACCATCAAGAACAACTGCGGGTTCACGGTGTGGCCGGCGGCGACGCCCGTGGGCGGGGGCACGCAGCTGAACCCGGGCGGGACGTGGACCATCAACGTCCCCGCCGGCACCAGCTCGGGCCGCGTGTGGGGCCGCACGGGCTGCTCCTTCAACGGCAACAGCGGGAGCTGCCAGACGGGCGACTGCGGCGGCGCGCTCGCCTGCACCTTGTCCGGGAAGCCTCCCATGACGCTGGCCGAGTTCACGATCGGTGGCAGCCAGGACTTCTATGACATCTCGGTCATCGACGGCTTCAACATCGGCATGGCCTTCTCCTGCAGCACCGGCGTGGGGCTGGTGTGCAGGGACTCGAGCTGCCCCGACGCGTACCACCAGCCTAACGACATGAAGACCCATGCGTGTGGCGGTAACAGCAACTACCAGGTCACCTTCTGCCCGTGAGGTTGTATCGGAGAGTGATTTCCAGGAATAAGACGCACGTGTTGTGGTAACATGTCCAAGCGTGCATGCATGTATGTGCACGCCTATGTATGTATACATGGATTTGTGTACGTAACGTATACACCAGTGAATATATAATATAATAAGTCGCTGTTCATAATGTCATGTTGGAATTAAAGCCGGGATGATACAGCAAAGAGAGGAAAAAATGTTAATTATTGCCACGAAGTGATTAAACAAAAAAATGAAGGTATATTATATGGCTATACTAGAACGCTAAATCTATGTATATATGTGTATGTATATATATATATTTCACAACATACAACCAGCACTACCGGAAACTCACAAAATTTCAGCGACTGATTTTCATAATTATTGATGTGCAAATAGAATGATGGTGGGATATGTCAGCAATAATGTTAGTTCGTAGCAGTATATATGTACTATGTACTAATAAATCAACTAGCTATGCTCTCTCATCCATTTATTTATTTTTTTGAACAAGCAAACAGGTGCAATATAAATGTTCTTGTTCGTCAGTCCGGCCTTGTCGCGTAGGATTAGATTTCCAGGTCATCTAGAATTCTAGATGAACTAGGTGCTGACAAATTCTAACCGATGTTACACGGCAATACAGTGCATGAATGCCACAAACTTCTATACGAAGGAACAATAGCATATTCTACACTTGTGGGTCCCGCAGTCAAACATGCTGTCTGTTATTGTCAAACTTAATGTATACTCCCTCCGGTTCTATAAAACAAGTCGTTTTGGACATCGACACGGTCTTTAAGAAACAACTTTGACCGCTACTTTTTGCTATAAAATATTTATAAAATATAGTCAATATATACTTTTATGAAACTACATTTCGAGATGAATCTACTTATATCACTTTCATATTTTCAAACTCAACCCAAAAGAAGTTATTTATAGTCAAAGTTTAAAATTTTTTCCATTAGAGAACCGGAGGAGTACTTAATAATAAAGATATATAATATAAGTTTTTTCCATTCGGACTTATATATAATATATAATATAACCCGTGTTCATACGAGTTAAAATAGCTCTTGTGTAGCGCAATACGGTGTCCGATTCCAAACCGTATTGGGTCGTGTTATTGTGTATGTGACTAGGACTCATGCATATATGTTCGTCCGTCAGCTCTTTCTAATAATTTTTTAGGATCCAGATACATGGTTAATTACTATCAATGAGTTCAAATAGGAGTGCATTTGCGGTGCTATTTGTTTTCCTAATTTTCTTTCCCTGTGAGACTAATCTGACTTCTAAACTTTGGACAAAAAAAGAACAAAAACTTCAGACAAAAAAATCTACCGACAAAAGAAAAAGATCAGAGTCCGAGAAAAATAAAACAGAAGGAAAAAGGAAAACAACATCGGACAAAAACTACAGAAAAAGGAAAGCGGGAAAGAAAAAACATTGAAAAGAAAAACTACGGAAGAAGAAAAATCCTAACAAACATCAGGTACGCGCATGTGAAATAAAAAAACTAAAACTAAAGAACTCTTGTTTAATATTTCCGTAAGAAAGGTACAACCTACAAATACATCTCTATTTGATTAGAATTCCTATTCAAATTTAGGATGGGAGAGATCTATTTGATCAGGATTTCTAGCCGGCTATATATAAGACACGAGTTCGTCGGACTAGCCTGCAATCAATTACACGTAAATAGATAAAGGCCTATACAATCTCGTTACCCCTATTCTACTGACCCATTCTCCTCGATCATCTCCTATCGGTGTTTTGTAAACCAGACTTTAAATTTATACGATTGCCGCGCGGCTCTAGAACGATAATGGTATGTAGCATCCAAAATACACAAGGATGATTGCAGTTTGGGCTAGCGACTCTGGCATCCGCGACTTGCACCCCGTTCGGCTCTTCAATAGTTATGGGTACTTGTCGGTGATTCGAACAAACACCGGTTAGTAAATTTATATTTATGCGCGTTAGGCTCGGATGATGCGCTAAAGGACACAAGGTTTATACTGGTTCGGGTTGAATGTCCCTTACGTCCAGTCTATTGCTGCTCATGTTATTAGCACCGAAAATGGTTCGTAGTAAGGGGTACAAATGGTCGAGAGAGGGACTGGTCCCAGGTCTCTGATGGAAGGGTCGAAAGGATACCAAGAGCCTGTTGGCGGCCTAGCTGTGTGCGTGATGTGTGGAACTGAACTCTCTATGAGCTTAGTCTGTGTGTGAGTTGTCCGTCAAAAGTCGGTCCCTCTAGTGGGGAGCCCTGCCCTCCCTTTTATAGACCAAGGGAGGAGCAGGGGTTATAGATGGGAGAAAGAGGAAAATACCAAGGGTATAGAAGGTCCTTTGAAGGATCCGGGAATTCATTTTTTCCCGCGCCTGCCCTGCTTAATCATGGTAGACCTTGTTAGAAGTGGCGTGTTCGTTGATCTTCGTAGGCCATGCCCTGGCCCTATTTAGCGAGTGGGTGCGTCCCATCCTATGTCGGCGGACGGTGCGACGTGCCAGAGAGCCGAGCAGTGACCCCTCGGGAGTAATCAGGGAAGCGACCATACGTCCGTTACTGTAGATTCTTACGACGGGGCCACCCTCTGGGGCCGGCGCCCAAGAAGAGCCTTGCCCTTCAGGTGGGACGGATGGCGCTGCCCGACGCCGCCCCTGTTTTGGGTAGGAGCGGCGCCGACGTTGCGGCCTCATTGGCTGGTCCGGCGGCGCCCACGGTGGCGCCCTTGCCCTCGGTGGTTGCCAAGTAGGCGGCCGTGAGCATTCCAAGCCAGGAGCAGCCGGACGCGACCGTGGTGGTGTCCGAGGGGGTGGCGCAATCCGTGCCCCCGGCGGCCCAAGTGACGCCGCGTGACGTGGGCCGGGCGGAGCTGGATATAGCTGTGGTGGCGTCCGAGGGAGCAGCGTAGTCCGTGCCACCAAAGGCCCAGATGGAGGCGGCTGCGACCACGACAAGCCTGGTGGGGTCAGATTCTGCCATGGTGGCATCCGAGGGGGTGGCGCAATCTACGCCACCGGCGGCCCAGGCCACGGCGCCCGAGGCGGGCCGGATGGAGGAGGACACGGCTGGAGGGTCTCCGGGCATCGTGGCGGTGATGGAGAGGACCCGCAGAAGGTCGTCCCTGGCCCTGTTGTCGGGAGGAAGCCGCTCCCTCGCGCGGAATGAGCCGCCGCTCCAGTGGATGGCCGCTTGGGACCCAACATCGGTTCTTTTCTCGCTTGATGATGCTTCCGAGAGCATGGAGCGGGAGAATCTTGACATCGGTTCTCGGCTGTGATGGATGCCTTGAACCAGGCCAGCGGTGCCCTGCGCGAGATCCTCGTTCCTTCTAGCCAGGTGCCCGCTTAATCTTCTCCTTTGTTTTCTTCTCCCTTCATGTATTCTTGTGTTTTCGTATTTTTGATACCGGTCTTCTTCAGTGTATCGTTGCTCGTAGCCGGAACAAATCCTGGTTCCTCCGTGAGCAAAAGGCGAAGTGGGACCGTCTTACCGAGGAGGCCTGGCTGCGAGGAGACGTGGGCGCATAGCTTGCTGTCGCCCAGTAGCGGGAGGCCGAGGCGTGTCGGGACGCGGAGGAGATCCATGGGATGTTCGTAAACTTGTCGACGAGGGTGAAGTTGGACGAGGAGGTGACTGCCAGGCTCCAAAAGGAGTGGGACGAGCTGCTACAGAAGGATGCCACGGCTAGTGAGCAGGCCATCGAGCTCTTGGCGGAGCTGGAGATGGAGCGGGACCTCAAGTTGAAGGCTAAAGAGAGGTCTGCGGCGTTGCAGCAGAGGGCGGACCGGCACACCGGGGTGATCGCCCGGTTGCGCGAGGAGCGAGACGAGCTGTGCCGGACCGAGGAAAGACTTCGCTCGGAGCGCGGCACAGCTCGTGAGGATCGCGACCGGGCCATCCGGGAGCGCAACGAGGCGCGTTGGGTGGTCAACTCCCTCCGGGCGGATCTTGGAGCCAAAGTGAAGCAAAGGTTGGACGCCGAGAGCGCTTCTGCCAGGCTGGGCAAGGAGCTCGCCGAAGTACAAGGCATCCTTCAGACCGAGAGTGACGAGCATGACATTCTGCAAGCTGTTGTCGGGGTGGTCATCGACGCCCTGAGGGTGGCGCAGCCAGAGGGAAGCAGCTTGCTCGTGGCTCATGCCACGGGTATCACGGCGTGGGTGGGACAACTCGAGGAGGCCGCCTTTCACGTTGGGATCACCCAAGCCTTCGTTGTTGCCCGTTCTCACTATGATCGGGAGATCAACTTGGAGGTAATGAGCCTTGGCTTCGCGCCTATCTATGAAGACCCTGAGCTGGAAGAGATCGAGAAGGCGGTGACTCCCCTCGCGTGGGACCTGGCGGACAGGCTGAAAGAAACGGTTCTTCCTTCACGGAAGTAGTTAGTTGAATCAGTTTGATAAACATTTATTTAGTAATATGTGAATGAGTGTCGGTACTTTCGTGTTCTAGAAACGGTTTCGTGGATTCGTTTCGTAATTTTTGTTTCGTTTGTTTGATCTTACCTTCTTCCCCTTTTGCAAAAAAAGAAAGGAGGTACCCGTACCTTTATCAGCCCCCGAGTGGGATCCGACCCCTTGTGGTTGCTGGGGTCGGATGTTACTGGAGACCGGAGCGAGGGAAGTGAACCTACGTTTGTATTTGCTCGTATTTCTTACTTAGGATTTTGGCGATCGCTGTGTGACCATACGTTTGGTCCTATTGCTGGTTCGGCCTTCCCCGAGCCCCCGTGCGTGGTGGTGATTCGGTCAAGGGCCGGCACATTTTGTGACTGTCGCCCCATCAGCGGTTTTTCGCAACTAGAGGGGTTGAGGCGATGTCCCTTGCCTCGATGGCTCGAGTGACGTGCCTGATGAGCTCGCTAATGGGGATGTTCGGACGGAATCTGATCCCGTTGCTTTGCGATAGGGTCGATAAAGCCCTCGGGTGACATTCCGTTGCTCCTTGCCCCGCCTTCCAACAGATTCCCCATCAATGGGGTTTCTATGGG